AAGCTAGGAAGAAACGGCCGTCCAGTGCTTCCAGGTTTTCTATAGTGGTCTAGCTTCAACTGACTCATAAGTTCAACTATTGAAATCTTAATTCAATCAAATCCTTTGTGTATATGTATATAACATTCAGATATTTGTATATTGATATATGAAATAATGCTTAGAAACACTTAGATAAATGAATTAGTCTAATAAATAAATTCTGAATCTCATGGATTTGAAAAATGAAATAAATTAGAGCTTAAAATATGTTTATTGGGGTTTATTACCGTTAAATGACAATTGTTTAAAGTATACATGAAATAAATAGAGGTTAACTGAAATTTCGAAACCAATTATTCTAAAGTGTGCAAAACCATAAGGTTAATAATAACCAGACTAAATATTAGTTCAATGACTAGATAATGTATGAAATTGTGTTTATTAAGTTAGATATGATAAAAATGAGATGTATGATAAATTAATTATTCAGGTTTAGTAAAATAATAAGACATCACAATAGTAGATTTATATTCTTCTTACTCATAAATCACCCGATCAATGTTGGCCCACTAACAATTGATGAGATCAGCATGATCATCAGACAGATCAAAAGCGGCAAAGTAACGGGACCAGAAAACATTCCAGCAGAAGCACTGGAAGCAGAGGAAGCAGTAACTGCTATGATACTCCACATTCACTTCAGCAACATTTCGGATGAACAACAAATACAAACAAACTGGATAGAAGGAAACCTCATCAAGAAACCAAAGGAAGACGATCTCAGCTAGTGTGAGAACTACAGAGGTATCACTCTTCTCTCAGTATCAGGAAAAGTCTTCAACAGAGTATTGTTAGACAGAATGAAGAACTCCATAGACATCCAACTTCGAGACCAACAGGCAGGATTCCGTAAAGATAGATCGTGTACAAACCAAATCACAACTCTACAGATCATTATGGAACAATCAATTGAATGGAATTCACCACTATACATCAACTTCATTGACTACGAGAAAGCATTTGATAGTGTGAACGGGACAATGCTATGGCGCTTCCTTCGACACGGGACTCCTAAAATGGATTAAACTGCCAAATAATGCATAGAGGACAGCTGACAGACTCGTTCGAAGTAAGGACCGGTGTCAGGTGAGGTTGCTTACTCTCACCCTTTCTCTTTCTCCTGGTGATTGACTGGATTATGAGGAAATCAACATCCTGGGGAAGGAAACATGGGATACAATGGACAGCTAGGATGCAGTTGGACGATCTAGATTTCCCAGATGATCTTTCTCTTCTATCGCACACGCAACAACAAATGCAGAAGAAGACGATCAGCGTAGCAGCAACCTCAGAAGCTGTCTGTGCAAAACACTTCGTATCTGCTGGCAGACACTATCATCAACAACCTACTGTGGGAGAGAACAAACCAAATTCCAGTGGGTGAAGAAATCAGGATGAAGCACTGGAATTGGATAGGACATACATTGAGGAAAGCACCGAACTGTGTCACAGGGCAATTACTCACTTGGAATTTTCAAGGTCAAAGGAGAGAAGGAAGACCAAAGAATACATTACGTCGAGAAATGGAGACAGACATGAGAAGTATGAACAAGAATTGGATAGAACTAGAAAGGAATACCCTGTACAGAGTGGGTTTTAGAATGTTAATCGATGTGCTATGCTCCATTTGGGGTAACAAAAGTAAGCTACAGTGCTACTGTATTGTAAAAATTAACAACTGAGACTGGTTTAACGTAGATAAAATCTTGAGGCTGGTTCTTGTTACCTAGAATTTCGTTATTTTTTAAAATTGATATTTCCATACTTACTGTTGGAAGGATTTTGAGTCCGGTCATTTTCTGACAGATAACTAATAACAAAAGGGATTATTAGAAATAATTGACGCCTTTTTTATTTCTTTTGAATTCAATAACTAATGATTGAATTTACTGTTTTCATTAAATGTTTACTCAACTACATTGAAAATGTTTAGTCAATAAGAAAACATAAATGCTTCGAATGTGTCGAGTAGAGGAGTGCTTTTACTCATAAACTTAAATATTAGCAACCAGTTTAGGCTACTCATCCTACAGCTAACTTGTCGCTATGGAGAGCGTTAAAAACATGTGTTGTTTTCTATCACTTATGAGTATCACATGGTTTTCTCCTTTTGTGAGCGTATTAAGTAAAGTACATAATTTGCTTTCTGCTGTATTAGCACAGCACATGATTGCTATTCTGTGATGAAGTGGTTTAATTAGATTTTAACTACAAAAGTATATCCCTTGTTGAAACTTTTTCCTGCTGATATTTTTTAATGTTCTTGTAGGTACAATATTTACAAAATATATTTTGCCTTCAAGTTTCCTCCACACATGCAACCTATATGGCTAGATATACTACATTAAGTTTCCTAAAAATCTCTAGTTTGGTAATATTATTGTTCTTTTATTAAGGATACATTTTTGTTCACTGTGTAGACTTAAATGGAAATGGCTGTTTAGCTTTAATAGAAAAATCAGTAGTATTTAGTTTTTAGTATGCGGTTATGAAGATTGTTGAATTTCATTGAAATTCCGAATTGATTATTTAGTTATGCAACCATTGAAAACCTGAAAGCACTGGTCGTCCATCGCGTACTAGTATAGGACGTTTCAGCAATTCATATTCACGACCTCTAGTCGGGAACAATACCTTCGATCGCACACTCATAGGGTTAACTAGATTTGAACACCATTAGACTCTGGCTCAGTAGTTCAGAGATTAAGCGTTCGAGTGAGAGTTCAAACGTTCTGGATTCATTTCCTAACGATGGGTCGTGGATGCGGCTTACTGAAGAATCACATACTAGGACAAGATGAATATCTAGTGCTTTCAGGTTTTCAATAGATATTAAACTAAGATCAACTCATGATTCCAATGAAATTCATTTATTTGACCACATAAAAATCAGTAATTGCATAATTTTTTTTTGTTTGTTTTTTCTATTCAGTATAAAATCAAGACAGATTCATTACGTTACGTAATGAATTTATGATTCTTTATACTTATGTTATTATCTCGAATAAATAAATTAATGTCATTATTAACATTTATGACAGGGTCTAATGAGACAAATTTATTAAGATTATTTTGTCAAACCATATTCATGTATACAATCATATATTCTGTTTATATAATAACAGAGTATTTAGCTTTATGAAGTTTACTGGTACTGTTATATGAGTATTCATGTAAGGTATCATTAACTAACCATTATATATATATCATAAATTATCATAGATAGATTGATTGTTAGTTATAACTTTCATTACAAAATTAATCACTTAATAAATGTTTTGGTTTATAAATTAGAAAAGTTATCCATCGTAGTTTATATATATCACTAACGTGTCAGAATGCTGATTTTTCCATACTCTTTTTGGACTGATTTTTGTTCGTGTGTAAAGTACAGTTTACACAGAATTATTCATATCATTGATAAGCCTTTTATATAGTAGAATTAATATTATTTAACAAATTATTCATAAACAACGGATGCTAATAAGCGATTCATATCTATAACTTATTGTGGGTTAACATTCTTAGACATAGTTATGTGTAATCACCTTGGAAACAATGTTTAATTGGTTTTACAATTATTTCATTTAGGATAAGAAATCAATATTCATTTATTAATTAACAAACCACACCGTTGGATGCCGGCTCAGTGGTTAAGCGCTCTCGTGCGAAACTTATAGGTTGTGTGTTCGAACCTCGCGAAACCGTGGAGTCCCAAACTAGGACGAAGCGGCCATCCAGTGCTTCCAGGTTTACCATAGTGGTCTAGCTTCAACTGACTCATGCTTTCAACTATTGAAATTAATAAAATTTCCATAAAACCCCTTCTAACAATAAATAAAGTTTGAATTCTAGCCCATTACGATTCCATCTTATTAATAAGGACCTATGACTTAGTTGCTTTAATAAATATCGTTATATAGTGATGTCACTTACACTGGTTCATCAAAACAGTTGGTTAGTTTGAATGAATGGGAATCGCATACTGTAGATAATTTAATTTTGGAAACCTTATCAAATGGCTAAATGAGAGAACTTCGACAGAAAAAACGGGATATATATATTTTTTAGAACATGTTCTTTAAATTAGAATTATAGAATATATGTTAAGTAATACAATTCATATGATAGATACATGACAAGATGCTATTGTTAGGCAAAAGTTGTTTTTGTGTTCTCAGATGCTGACTCCTTATGAAAGTAATTTAACTGATGACAAGACTTCAGCATCATTGTTACCAGCCAATTAAACTGGTATTTGAAGACGTAAAACGTGGATTATTCGAAAGTAGAAAAGATTTACAGTCAAAAAAATGATTTTTTATGGTTGCTGTTACTAGTTTGGGTGGTTTAGTCGTGAAGCTTTCATTGTTTTTCTCGAAAAAAATTGTACATGAAGTTAGTTCTGATGATATTCTTTGGAAAGATAATGAGAGCTCCCATGACAAAATCACCCAGTCGAAAGAATGCAACTCCACCAAAAATTGGATTTTAAACGTATTCGTACTGATAGCTGGATAGTGTTCAATGTCATGTATATCAAGTCCTAAGTGCTTATCTAAGCTGGAATATGAGCATTAGTCTGAATGTCTCGACAACACATGCAATTTTTTGAGATGGACGAAAGGTGTACATGTAATCATGAGAAAATTGATACTACGTGGTGGATTCGACTCTGCGTCATGCGCGTTCACAGTCAGAGACATATTCTTTTAAGATAAATACTTGGCCATTGGCAAATTCTTTAACTTAATTAAATATTATTAGAAAATTATTAAACCTAAAGTCGGTTATACTCAATAATTCAGTAATTAAATCAAACCTTTGTTATCGAGCATCATTTTTGGCCATCGTTTCAATAAACTTGTATCTCATGTGTAATAACAATTATATACATATAGTGCTTTTGATAACTAGAAGCCTAACTATTCATTAATACATTTCTACCATAACTGTAGCATCAGCTGAAGATTCCGGTAAAAATCAACTAATTAATTTAGTACTTCGACCATATGATGGAAAATTATTATGGGAATCATCATCATCTCAAATTATTTCATCAAATAATAATAATTTTAGTAAATTATTTATCATATCACCTGAACAGTTGATAATACAACCACATAAAGAAGCTACAATTACAATTTTAATGAATCCATTTGAAGCATATTCAGATATGAAATATTATGACATGTTCAATTTAAAAGCTCATATAATTGGTTATTTAACTATAGACTCAAAATATTATTTAGATATTCCACGTACACATGCATTAATCACAGAACAATTACGTTTTGATATAACTGCTAAATTGGAACAACCTAGGTAAATTATTTTATTTAGAAACTGTTTATACGAATTAAATGTTGTTCATAATGAATAATTCATGTTCATTTATGAGATTATCTGAAATTGTTTTAATGTTTTTACTTAATTAGATGCTTATTATTTCTTCTTGATTCAATGAGAACTATATAATTTTGATCAAAGAAAATGTCTATTATTTTGTCTACTCTAATCGTGAACAATGTAATTCAACTACGTGTAATAGTTACTGAATAGTTGAAGGAATTAAATAACATGTTCCAGGTCTAAGTTGATGAAAGTCTATTTCGTTTCAGTCAAATATTAACACTAACTCTCATACTTAAAATAATTAGATCTTAAATCTCATGCCTAAACAGTATTTAAAATGAGTTGCAGTAAGTGAAATGATTTGTTCATCAAGCATAATCGCTTTGTTTTTCATTCGAAACAATTATACACAATAAGTTATATCAAAATATGTAAGATGAAAAATAACACACTACTAGGTTTGAAGCTATCACGAGTTCACTTAATCGGCGAACGAGACCAAGACTCGGAGACCAAAGACCAGTAAGCTAGCTATTGACATCCACAACACACACATATTCTTAACTTTTATAAAATAATGTTAAAAATGAGAAAATCATATATATTTGTTAAAAATTTGAATAACAATACAATTCAGAATGCAAGTTTCATCATACTTTGATCATGTCATTTGAATGAGACTGGATCTCAGTTAATGTTGACAGTTAGACTTGAACATTTCTCTTCAAAAGCTCAATTTGTTATCCACTGATTTACTGAGTTCAGATAATCGCTAATCGTTCAATAGATATTGTATTTGTGTCATGATTAGTAAGGTTTTTGATTGTACTCTTGTTGATGTTCAAGACTAAATTTTTTCAGTGTTTATTGATATTTTAGTGAACAGAACACGAGTGGGGACAATCGAATGTATTTAGCAAAAAATTACAGGACTTTTTAATAAAATCTAACAATCAAATAGTAAATACGTAATTTGCAAAATGTCCATCAATTGTCTCATAATGACTCAGACTTCATTGTTCTTGCATTTTCATACAAATTACATTCTGTTCCCATTTTTTACTGTTCGATCCTCTTGTCACTCTGCTGCCAGAATTTCTGTTCGCAACCAACAACATATACTACTTATGTTAATATAAGTAGCACACACCACACTCACCCCTCACTTTAACGCAGTCGTTCTTGCAGTGGTTCATGCTTGTCGTGCCACATTCTTCGTTTCTGCAGTCTGTGCTACTCTCTCCGTCAAAATGTCGAGTCTACGGCGTGCAGACCTCAGTCGACCTGCCGGGGCAACAACATCCGACATCCACCCGACACCTGGGACGCTTAACATCCGTGTTCCACCGGCCTGCTGAGCCATCTACAACCGATGTCCGCCCAGCAGCCACAGGTCCTCCAGCTCCTCTCCGTTGACAGCACCCGCTACAGCCAATGCTGCCCCGTCAGAACACTCCACTGGACGTCACCTCTCCGCACCAGACTGCCCCAAATAGCATCTCAGCTCCAGGCTGCTACCAGACATTCTGTTCACGACTAACATCACCTACTACTCATGTCAATATGAGTAGCATACACCACAATATGTGTAGATCCCTTGTGAACTATCATTTTGAAATTCAGTCTCAAATTCCAACAACACCATAGTTTAAATCTTCGCTAACAATAATAAATATTATAACTATACGACTAATTCCTGTTAAAAGTGTATACATATGAAACGTAACGACTATGTAAATAATAAATAGACATCAGATGTCAGAATAAAATGTATAGTGGTTTTCAATGTGTGATAGTGATCTATTCCTGAATAAATATTAAATCTACAAAATGCTTATGACATGGTAAAGAAATAATTTTTTTTTAAAATATACGACAAGAAAAATAAGCTATTGATCTAGATCATTCCATTGATCAAATATGATAACCTTTGTACATTTGGCACACAATTTTCTAACTTTATTTATTCAAGTTCAAATTTCATAGAATTTCATTCATAGTAACCTACATATCAAGACTTATATGTAAGAGAACAGGAGTCAGATACTGTAGTGTTAAATATATTTCTAACTTTGGAAAAAAAAATAAAACTTTTGTAGATAACTGGTTCTTTATTGATTGTTTTCTTTAGAAACGTGGCTTAGTTTTCAAGGTTACTAACTGTTTTGCATCTTTATCTTTTTCATACTTATCTATTAAAAAGTATGTATACTAATAATGTAGTTATTACGTTTGTCTGTCTGTTAAGTCTGTGGAATGCTGAACTGACTAGTGCTTCATACTAAGAGTCCGAATCAGAAGATGCTTAGTGAAAAACAAATACTTGTTTTAAGGTTTTATTTATGAACCAAAATAAATCCAAATGATGTATAAGTACACTACCACAAATTCACAAACAGATTTGTATAGTTTGACTGAGTAATATTTAATGTCAATCAACCAATAATTTGATACGAGAACATATATTAGTAATATCAAACCGACTTGATTTTCATCTTTTAGTCCCGTCATATTAGTAGTAAAACGAAATCTAGGTATGACATGCAGTGTCGAACCAGTGTTTATTTGGAAATCTTAGATTGCTATAAGTTGATTGCACAAAACATTCAAGATTTATTGTTTAAACAAAAGTTCATGTTGCTGATATAAGGCATTTCTTTCTGTAAAATAATGACTAGAACAATGAAATAAGTAAATTAAGTACTTATATGTCGAAGCTCGGCCAATCTTAATGGCAAATGGTTATTGTTGATATGATGCTAAAAATCATTTTATGATTAGCAGGGATATTCCTAATCTATCTAAAGTTTTGTGGAGACCAATTTAATTTGCAACTGGTATCCATCACCGATCGATCACGGTTAATATACTACTGAAAAACAGGCAGCAGTGAACAGCTATTCCCACGCCACTCCAGTGGCTCTAAAGGTCAAACATTCTACACAAAGCCTGGAAACCCTGGTCGTGGATACAAACTGCTAAGGATTTCTATACTAGAACAAAACACCTGTTCATTGCTCTCTGCTTTTTAGCCTTATCCTAATTGATATCAATCTATGAGTTATAGAATATACATATTCCCGATTTGAATAAAATCAAAACAACGATTGGAGCAGAATAATATGCATTCATCATATTCCATGTATTATCGTCATCTGTTGCAGCAATTATATCTATATGGTTGTAGGCAGATGATGAGAATCCATGAAATATAATAAATTCATATAATTCTGCCTCAACTGTTGTTTTGTTTTTATTCAAATTTATTTAAATCTTTTCAGATACTTTTAAGATCTTCCGGAGTCAGATACCCATCATATTCGACCATTTGTTCTTAATTTACACTTAATTAATAGACCGTTAAACCAGTATCTCTAAAAACTCCTGGGTTTATTAAACTTACAATCAAATATTCCACAAACATATTACCGGAACACTTTAAAACACGCTAAAAAAATGTATGTGAAGTAAGGGTGAAAATATAGGACCCCTTCATGATATTAATGGAGTGCAGAGTTATTAACTTCACGAGTGCTGAATAAGGAGTACATACTAAGTTGTTGATCATGCATTTTCTTTGTACTTACTATAAATAACATCAGTTATTCATAGTACGCAATTCTATACGCAAAGATATGTGAGATAGCCACTAATATATTCAACGCGTATTGACTTTAATCCGCACATACGTCCTAAATAAAACAAAATCCTATCGGTAGTTTAACTGTCCGTCTCGTGAAAGCTTATGAATAGCTCTTAGTCTTATATTAGATATTAATTTTGTTTTTTATTAAACACGATATTGATTTTAAAACAGACTCATTATTGATCTAAACAATAATCCCTTGGAAATTGTAAGTACGTCTCCTAATCCTCCACAACCAAGGATTCTGCATTTTAAATCAGGATTGGGACAATTTCTTGTTAATTCCCTGAAAAAGAAAGCAAACGAAAACACAGTTAGTGTACCTAAAAACTATTCCTACCAATCCAAGAATTCGGAACAAGTTAATCAACGAACGCAGATTGAACGAAGAATTCCACGTACACTTCTGAATGAGACCAACTGTTCACTAATAAGTAGTATAGTCCTCTTACGCGACATTCACATAAGATGCCCAAATAGTATACCAGTCACAATCTGTATAAAAGCAAATGAAATGAAGTATTTGGGATTTCATGTTAGAGAGGAAAAACCATACAATACGAACGAAGATGATGGCATCATTACAGACTCGCAAGATGATAATTTGACAACAATGATGCCAATGACCAAAACGTCGTTTGAGCAACTCTATAAATCACAAATCAGCTTAACTCTCAATCCAGGTAAATTACAAACGGTAAGTACAAATAACAATTACTAACATGAGATAATATATACTGAATGAGATGTAAAGTAATGAATCATAAAGATAATACAAAGGAATACTACAAAATAAAACAAAGCTTAGAAAATGATAAAACATAGAACTTATGAGATGGTGGAGAAGTTTGTAGCTCAGGTGAATGATTTTGGTGGAGTTTTGTTCTCTGAGCTGGATGATTTGCTCAGAGAACAAAACTCCACCAAAAACATAGAACTTATGTTTTGTTGTAATTAATATGAAATAATGGTATACAAACTGTAACCAGTTTAATATTTTCCTAAAAATGCACAGTTTACTTTTTTTTAGGTTTATTCGACACAAAACTGTATTATAAAAATCAATATATGATTTTTTTGTACTTAGTTTGAGGGCTTACACCTTACACCTTTCTATAAATATTATCCAGGTCGTGTATGGTCTTATCATTTGTAAGCTTTGCTCACCTGCTACAATGTATTTAAATTCAATAGGCCCTATACCGTATCCATAATGTAATATAAAAAGGACGGTATAGCACAAAACTCACTCTCTGATAAGAAGATTAAAATTCAATTTGCAGCTTATGTAGTACACTCTAAGCAAGCTGATTTTCTATTTACATTGACATTTCATCAATCATCAACCAACTAGAGCTAGCTGATGGATATAAATGACGTAATCAACTCGATTACAACTTCGTTTTCTCTAGTCAGCTTAAACATAGATACTGGTTAATTATAGAGATGTATACTTTGTTTAGAAGAAAACAAATGCATCATAAATACATTTACATTCTTATTCCCATTAAATTGAAATTCAACCAATTTTATTTTTTAACCCTAAAATGTTTGTAAAATATTCAACGATATAGTGTAGGTGTTATGTCCCGAATGGTAACTTTTGTGATCCATGTATGGACCGATACTATGCGTATAGTTTTATCGTATAATTGTTAGATAACAAAACTATTCATATTCATATCCCTCTTATTATGAGCTTGATTTTAATCTTGTTATGGATGCGGAAGGATAGACCAATAATTATCATGTTAAGTCTAATGGTGTCCTTGGACTTTAAATGGACATTTCCTATTGGTCGATATCTGTCCACTTGTTGAATATTGTACAAAATGTTGTTTTCTATTTTTATGGTACGATGTGGTATGTTTGGTTAGTATATAAACAGAGTGTGTTTGAAATATAATGATTCATATCTCAGAGGCTGTGACTTGCGTTCTGGACTCAACTGGCTGGAATAGACAAGGAGGCAGGGCCAATCAGGGCTCCAGGTCGTTCGTACGTGTTTGCGTGTCACTGGGGCGATTGATATAAAACGCTGCGCATCTAACCTGCAGTCACCCGTTACAACAAATCTACGAATAATTATTATACGATTTATCATTCTCGAATTATTCCCTGTCTATTAATCACTACTACGTTCGACATTCACAGCCACATTTGGCTTAATGTTGTACAAATGTTGTTTCATATATTATGGTACAATGTTGTCTGTTTGATTGGTATATAAATCCCGTATATTTGAAATAATTGATTGATATCGAATAGGCTGATATTTGTGTTGTGTACTTAAGTGCCTGGGCTAGGCAGGAAACAGGATCAATAAGGACTTTAGACTGTTCGTACATGTTTTGTGTGTTATAGGTGTGACTGATAATGCATCGCTCTCCAATTAACTGTACCATTGCGTTATACATTAACAGAGCACACAGATTCCAAGTTAGAACAGTAGGTGCTTTTTTAGTACTTGATTAAAATCATTTTAATTTCCTTATCGATTAGTGTAATATTTCAAGTTACATAAGGCTAAAAAAAATAATTATCTAATTCATTCAAACAAAGTTGTGAAACAAACAAAAAAAAATAAAGTAATAAACACTTCAATTTAAGTGTTATACATAATAGTACATTCATTTTGTACGTATATTTGTCAATTGACGAAATCTTAATCATGTGATAAACAACCTTTCACATGGATATTTCAATTGTTTATGTATCTAGTTGAAACATTTAAAAAAAGTACAAAGAATCTAATAAATAAAAATACATAAATTATTATGATCAATGAATCAATCCGTTAATTATTTAAACAAGATATTCTTTTTACAAATGGAAAGGATTAATTTTTGCCGTAATATAAAAAGTAATTCAGGATAATTACTATTATTAACAGTTAAATGTATTCATCCATATAACATTATTGAACATGTGAACTTTGTTCATTGAATTCACTAGTCCATCATGAAAAACCTGGAAACACTGAATGATTGTTTCATTCTAGTATGAGATTTCTCAGCAGTGCGTATCAATGATTCCGCACATGGGGCTGGAACCTAGGATCTTTGTTCTCGTGACTAAGGAATTCAGTTGTGAAAATAATACATTCTCTACAAATCCTGATACTGATAAATTGTTAATTATCAATCACATTACTGACCAGTGGAGTTCAACTGGGTTTGTTGTGAGATAGTAACTCATTGAAGAAAATGGTGAACGGTGGCTTTATTTTGTGGATTGGTTAAAGTTAGACATTAACATCATAGGATGCCGGCTCAATCGTCTAGAGGTTAGGTGTTCGCTCGCGAGACTGATAGGTCCTGTGTCCGTATCCTGCGGGGCAGGATCGTGGATGCACACTGCTGAGAAGTTCGATATTAGGACAAAATGGCCTTCCAGTGCTTCTAGGTTTTCCTTGATGGTCTAGCTTCAATCGATTCATGAACTGAATTATTAAATTAGTATAATATCCACAAAACCCTTTTAAATCGATTATTTTTATGATTCTGGTCATTCTCTATACTAGTTGAAGTTATCAAACGAACGTTCTTAGTAAAAGTGATTAAACTGAGAAGCAAAGCATCTTAAATTTAAAATTTATTCATTCAAGTATAAAGATTATAATGACTAAAGTTTAAACTTTATTAAAGTGTTAAAATCTTAATGTTTAATCATTCATGTTTTATTTGTATCTTTTTATTGTTTCTTATTTGAGTTTTACGTTTATATTCACATAATTAGTGAAATAAACAATTTACAGTAGATATATTTATCATACTATTCTGCTAGAATGTTTGTTCTTGCTCTTTTCAAAATGATAAAGGGAACTATGTGTATAATATTTGAAAGTGGTTAGCTAGATATTCCTTTATAAATGGAATCATGGTCACTGATACTTAAAAGAAATACTGATTGGTAAACATCTATGATGTATTAGTTACATGAGTAGATATATTTTAATTTTTTTCATAACTATGATTGTAAAATTTATTGTATAGTTGTTATGGAGTGAGTGAATCAAACAAAACTGTGGTTGATCTTAATTATTTGATTGGTTTTATAAATATTAGATAATAATGATGATAATCAGTGTCCAATAAATTATTAATAGTTGTACGCTCACAACATTTTTGAATAAAAAGCTCTACTCTAGATAGATGGATAGAATGGATATTGTGCTTGTAACTCAATGCTAAATAACTATTGAGAAACTACTTTAACCTTACAGTATTTAAATATGATCAACAATGTTGATCCATTTAGATGACTGATCAGATTTAGTGGTCTAAATTGAACATAAGATAGTAAAATTATTTACCTGAACCAAGAGTTAAGATTTTATTATAGTCATATTAGTTGTATATCTTATCCACAATTAATTTAACCAAATCATGGTTTCATTCTGTTCTCCTTCATCATCTACTATTCATGATAAATTATATATTTGTATAATGTAAAAATTGTTGTTCGTTAACAAATCTATTGTGCAATGTAAATTTAAACGTTACTTCGAATATCAGTGGTAATTTTCATCGAAAAATTAAAACCAGTCGAGATAACATGAAAATCAAAGAACTAAAAACAGATAATGTTACCGTTTGAGACTAATTGTTAATGTGCGGACTAAATTTGATTTAGTCTAAAACCGTTAAGCCTCTTGATGAAAAGCAAATCATTAGACCAATTAGTCGAATCATATTATTCAGCATGGATACTTTATACTAAGTAGTCGTAAAATGAATTGGTTGTTTGATTTTTGTCAACATTCATCCTTGGTTGGATCTGTGAGATATCCTTTGGTCTAGAGAAGGTTAAGTAGAATTCATAGCATCTATTCCCTAAACTTCTGCAAGTAGTATTCATTACATATATAGATAAATATTATCATTATTATTCTTGGTACTTGTTTGTTATCACTTCTTCAATATCGGTTGTTTTTTTTCTTAATCGATTTATAGATAACAGTTGGTTATCTGTTAGAAAAGGATTTATGCCTTCATAATACTACTTCAAACAATTTAACAGATTCGGCAAGCAGCTTACAGGTAATT